GCCGACCTGGCCACTGGTCTTTGAAACAATGAATGCAAAAAGTAGCAGGTGGATAACTGTTAAGGGCTCTAAATCATGCTCTGAAACACGCACTTGATTGGATGCATGTTCTCTTCATCGTGCGTTATACGTTGTTTGTTGTTTTCCCTCCACAGCTGCTCTTGAAACGCATAGCGATGGCTTCCACCCTAGTCCACCGAACCTTTTTTTTGGAACACAAAAGCTTCGAACGGCGCACCGTCGCCTGGGTCTCGCCGGTCTTCCTATCGCTCGCTGTGTCTCTGGAGGCGCCAGCGGCTCAAGAGGGCCTGGCGCTTTCCACCCACGGAACGCACGACCCGTCCGGAGACGTCCGACTTTCCGGGTCGATCTCCAAGCTCCAAGCATCTCTGAGCTCTTTCATCTTCCATGGTTTGACATGGCTTTTTTGGGGTGTCTAGATGTGTCTAGCCCCCTTTCAGACGAGGTGAAGAAACGGGTGTGTTTGGAACTCACGTCCGTTTGGACTCTCTGGCCTTCCTTTCCAGCTGTTTGAGGCTTTGACCCTTCTTTCATCTTCTTTCATCGTTTCACGCTCCAACCAGCCCGTGGTCCCTCAGAATGTAGGGAGTTGAGGCCCCAGACCCCTCCATACGAGGGTCCGACCCCTCTATATGAGGGTCCATGAGCGTCTGGGCAGCGTGAAACTGTGGCCGTGGGTCGTGGGTCGTGGGCAGTTCATGACGTCACAAACACCGAAGACTTCACGAGGCGGCGAAATGGGGCCCCGCCATGGTCTATTCCATCATATGGAAGGCACAGCTTGGGTGGCAGTGGTTGATAAGGGAAAAGTACATACTGGGTATCTCTATAGGTCTGTGCTCTTCCAAGCACTCCTCTGATTTCGCCCCTCCTGTGCCGAGAGAAACAGGTCCCGACCGCCCGTGCGCCTACGCGGGAAGCGCTCCGAGAGGACGCCTGGGACGCCGGGTCGCTCGGGCGCCATCGGCGATGCACCCAGCTCCAGAGGTCGACCCGGTCTGACCCGAAGACCAACTGGTGGTGGATTGGGGGGGTTCCATGTTCATCTTCTAGGAAGATCTAGGAAGTTCACTCTGGTGATTGGAAGATCTATAAGTCAGGGCCTATCAACCAGAAAAGAATCATTAGAACGGTGCAAAAACGTGCAAACTCCGGATGAAAATGGCACCCCCCCAAGCCTCAAATGGTTTTACAATCATTCATAATATACAATCCATGTCTGGGGGGGTTGACATTGGTTTTTTCGATTCTGGGGCGGCGCTTTCTAGCCCAAGAGACGACGATCCCCGAAAAGGAGACCCTAAGACTTGGAAACTCGACCCTGTTTTCCCCTCTTCTCACGTCTTGTGGCTTGTTTCCGGGGGATCGGAGGTTGATGGTGAAAACTGCGGAGACGTATGACTTCTGGGTGCAAAGGTTTGGCGACTGTAGATGAACCAGGGCGTGACTTCTATTTGGGATCCACCTCGTCCATTGGGTCGAGTCTTTCCTATCAAAACAGAGCTCGTGTCGTTCGGTCCGGTAAAGATACTCACCAGTCCTTCCAAAGATAGCCACACACGCTGGATGACCACGCTAGACGTCGTATCATCCGCCCCTCTACATCGCCATCGTCTCGCCGGGCCCGCGTCCGCGTCCCCGCGTGGAATCGTCCGCGTCACGTCGGTTCATTCTGTGGACTACACGTGGCACACATCAGACTCCGGCAGATGGAGTGGACCCTGGCACTTCTAGAGAAAACTTCTGAAACCACTCAGAGACGAGATTCTGAAGAAGCCATGAAACCCACCCAAAACCCGAAAAAAAACGAGGACATGTTTCAAAAGCATCCATTCACCCGCCCAAACTGCTCTGACACGCGCGTCCGACCGCGGACCGCGGCGGGGCGCCTCGGACCAAGAGAACACCGATCCTTTAGCTTGTGCAGCTCGACCCTGGAAGTGAACACGTCGGGCGACCCCTCTGAAGGCGATGATGGAGATGAGTCAAAGGAGGTGCAACACGTCGTGCCCCCCACAAAAGGCATCGTCCAAAAGCTGTGGCCAATCTGTGGTGTCCCAGGTTCCTGGAAATCTCTGGTGTCCATGTTGGCATGTTGGGCACGATTTATGGATTGGCCCCATCCCGCATCGCCCGGGCCAGAGGCCGAAGAGTCGAAATCGGACGTCGGCGACGGCGACGGCGACACAACTCGCACTGCTGCGCCGAATTCGCATTCGATCCTTGGGCCCTTGGGTTTCAATACGGCCACGAGCAGCACCGGAAACGGCCAAGGCTATCAAAAACATGGAAAAACCACAGCCGGCGGCTGTGTTCGCAGGCTAAATGAGAAGGAACCTATGACGTCACAGACAGTCGCAGACCCAACTCCGCATACGACTCCCACTACCCAGTGAGTCCCACTTGCACGTGTGGCCTGCCTCGCGTCGGTCTGTTTTCAGTGTGACCTGCCTCAGGGCATCCCCAAGAGAAAACGGATCGCCCGTCCCAATCTTCATCCTGGCCGCGTTGTGCATGTCGATGATAGGTGTGCTTGTGGTGGAAGGCAAAGGAATAGTGCCAAACAGTTGGAAAAGAAACAGCACTCTGTGACTACATGTCCTTACCAGCTAAGACTTCTGGCCCTACTCCTTCTGTTAGTCCTTAAGCTTGCGGCTTCCTCATTCAGTCTGGCAAAAAGCCCTTTCAAAAAAAAGACTGTCCCTGCCTCAGGGCGTCCCCAAGAGAACACGGATCGCCTGTCCTGTTCAGCTCCATCCTGAAGTGGACATGTTGGGCAACGGGATGGACACACGGGCTGATCATGGAATGGGCGGCGTGGCGGAAGAAACGAGAACAAGTGGCAAGCTGTCACATATCCCTGGCCACAAAGCCTGGCCGTCTATCTATTTGGTCTCTAATGAGTACTCCACCAGAACAATCAGGCATATGGCAAACAAGAGGACTGAGTTGTATGGATGAAACTCAAACAAATGTCTTGGTTTACCCTGCTTCCTGGACTTTGTGGAATACCTTAGCCTCACACTGATAAAGAAGACAGGCCCTGTTCTCACAGAGCCCAGTCAGTCTGGCAAAGCCCTTTCCAAGCAAAACACTGAGCCAGCCTCAGTGCGTCTCCAAGAGAAAATGGATCGTCTTTCCAGTTCAGCTCCATCCTGGCTGAAGTGAAATGAAGTGAACATGTCGGGCGGCGCAGCTTCTCTTCACATGCTGATTATGTTATAATTGTGGGTTGTGGCGACAAGTATGGCTAGGCCCCACAGATCGCACACGTTGCGCGTGCGCTGCCTGTGGTGCCAAAGGAGGCTCAACCACCTGCGGTGCCAAAGGAGGCTCTGCCGCTCGTGGTGCCAAAGGAGGCTCCGCC